CTTCTAATTATCTATCTCTCTCTCTCTCTCTCTCTCTCTCTCTCTCTCTCTCTCTCTCTCTCTCTCTCTCTCTCTCTCTCTCTCTCTCTCACGATTTATTTTTGTCACCTGCGATTAATTTTGCACCTTCCCATTATTTTTGAAGTTAATTGGCCAAATCAAAGAAGAGCATATGAGGTTTTCATTTTGTTGATAAACTTGTGTTTGCTTTTGTTTCAGTTTTCATTAACAAACCAACAAATTCATACCAACTTGAGAATTGTTTTATTCTTTGCCATTCTTAGGCTAAACAGCAGTGTATTTTCATTTATGTTCTTTAAGTACACATTACCAAAGATCACTGGGCAGCACAATTCAGAAAGATTACATGTGGTCAGGGCTAACTCTCCCGGGCAACAAATTTTAGTCCGTCACAATGAACAGGTTGCAGTTAAAAGTCATTATGTAAATGTTATTTCTTTCTACACTGTTGTAGCACTACATCGAGAACAACATTGCGATAAGAACGAATTGGATCTAAATAGCTAGATAATTCCAGTCCAAATGTGAAGACACGTCAAAATTCATAATCCAAACTTCATAGTCAATGCTCATTGCTAAATGATGGCAAACTTAACTCAAACTGACATTTGCATGCACTTCAGTGTACTGTGTAACAACTACAAAACAGAAAAGTAATAACTCACAAAATGAATGTTTTTATTTGACATAATTGCCTTGAGGATAAACATGGTTTGGTGGTCATTAATTAATGATGACAGAAATGTGAGTTGGAAAACCATGCACTTTGAGCGTAGTATCTTTAGGACTGGTATCTAAAGTTGAAAGCTGCTGTATGTGTACAGGGTGAAAGGTGGACCAAGCATTCGACTAAAACCAGAACTCTGCCAAATAATTGTTCTGGGTCAAGTATTCCATCCAGAGTGTGGGCTTAGTGCATGGAGTCAAGGTTTACTCTGTGTATCTGCTCATCATGGCCTCGGGCCTTGGCAGCCCTGATGGCGGCTGGTGCTACTCACCCTTCCTAATCTTTGCAGTCGAGTAGAAGGACCTCTACATTACAGAGTTTGCTCCTGTCTGTTAGTGTTCACACTATGCCCATCATCAACCCTTCCAATGGTCTCCCAACAAACCTCCAATCGCATCTTTGTTAAAATAATGCTAATGCCAAGGTCAGCAAACAAGTGCATGGCTTTTGGAAGCCAACGACCCCTGAGGAGGTGCTTTTGATTTTCAGCTCCATTGAGCTGCACTTATTCAATATTTACTCCCCGAGACCTCTGCATTAAATTCATACAACTACACTTCTAAAGGAAAGTCAAAAAAAAAAAAAGGTTTTGCACGTTACTACACAATGCACACACAATCATACACCCCACTGAGGCATTGTCAGTCTCTATCCACTGAAGGCTCTCAGTATCTGATTTGTTTCTATCGTCGTTTCAAGTCCCCAGGATTGTACAATTAAAAAAAAAATTCTCCTCAATATTGTTGCTCAAATTATGTCATTGACTCGCAAAAATGCTCCTCAATGAAAAATAAATGCAATTTTGAGCCCTGATTCTCAAAGACAAACGACTATTACTCCTACTGAATCACAGTCGCAATAAAATACCATTGTATTGTATTCGTCATTTGTGTCTGAAGGATTGCAGTATTATACTTCCACCCAGTGGCTTAGGCCGGGACAGTAGAATGGAGAGCACGATTAACTGCATTACAGCATTTTTTGATGATTCACGAACATTTTTATTTTGTACATTCATCCATAATCTGATTTGCTTATCCTCTCAAGGGTCATGGGTGTGCTGGAGCATATCCCAGCTGTCATGGGGCACTAGATGGGGTACAACCTGAACTAGTTGCCAGCCAATCACAAGGCACACAAAGAAAAAAACAGCCATTCACGCTCTCAATCCGCCTCGGGGCAATTTAGAGAGTTTAGTCAACTGACGTTGCATGTTTTTGGAATGTGGGAATAAAACCGGAGTATTTTGAGAAAACTCACGCAGGCACGGGGACAACATTTAAACTCCACACTCCAATCAAGTGTGACATTGTGTCATAAAAAAGGGGGTGCCATGATTGGATATAAAATGAGCTTCCCTGAATTGCTCTGTCAATCACAAGCAAAGATAGAGCGAAATTCATCTCTTTGTGAAGAACTGTGTGATAAAATGATCGAACAGTTTAAGGACAATGTTCCTCAACATACAATTGTGAGGAACTTGGGATTTCATCATCTACAGTCCATAATATCATGAAAAGGTTCAGACAATCTGGAGAAATCACTGCATGCAATGCTGAAAACCAACATTGAAGGCCCGTGACCTATGATCTCTCAGGTCGCACTGCATCAAAAACCGACATCAATGTGTAAAGAATATCAACACGTGGGCTCAAGAGCACTTCAGAAAGCCATGTCAGTAAATACCATTCGGCGCTACATGCCTGAGTGCACCTTAAAACTCTATTATGCAAAGCAAAAGTCATTTACCAACAATGCCCAGAAAGGCTCCCGGCTTTTCTGGGCCCAAGCTCATCCATGATGAACTGATGCGAAGTGGAAAAGTGTTCTATGGTCTGATGAGTCCACATTTCAAATTGTTGTTGGAAATTGTGGACGTCGTGTCTTCCGGTCCAAAGAGCAAAAGAAACACCCTAACTGTTTTGGTTCACAAGCCAGCATCTGTGATGGTATGGGGCTGTGTTGGTGTCAAAAGCATCGGTACACATCTGTGAAAGCACCATTCATGAAGAAAGGTAAATACTGGTTTTGGAGAAATCCAAGCAATGCCTTTTTCATGTACTTTATGGTTATTGCAGCAAGACAATGTCAAACCACATTCTGCATGTGTTACAATAGCGTGGCTTCATAGTAAAAAAGTGCGGGAACAAGACTGGCCTGCCTGCAGTCCAGACCCGTCTCCCACTGAAAATGTGCGGCGCATTATGAAGCGTAAAATACTACCCCGGACTGTTGAACAGATGAAGCTGTACATCAAACAAGAATGGGAAAGAATTCCACCGACAAAGCAAGAGCAATTAGTGTCCTCAGTTTCCAAAAGTTTATTGAATGTTGTTAAGCGAACAGGTTATGTGGTAAACATGACCCTGTCCCAGTTTATTTGTAACATATTGCAGCCATAAAATTCAGAAACATTACCGTAATGATTATTTGTGATAAAGAATAATGCTTATCAGTTTTAAGATTAAATATGCATTTGTAGTGTGTTCAATTCAATGCAGGTTGAACATGATTTGCAAATCATTGCATTCTGTTTTTATTTATGTTTAACATAATGCCCCAACTTCATTGAAAGTGTGTTTGTATTATTTCTTACTTTATGTAATCCATCCACCCATCCATCCATCCATTTTCCGATCCGCTTTATCCTCACAAGGTTCGCGGCGGGTGCTGGAGGCTATCCCAGGTGTCTTCGGGCAGTAGGCGGGGCACACCCTGAACCGTTTGCCAGCCAATCGCACACTTTATTTATCTTATCAAGTACAATATTCAACAGTACTATTTTTCCTTATTAAAAAACTCAAAGAAAAATTTTGTGTGGTCAGAGGCTGGAACTGTTAAAAGGTATTTCCATTCATTTAAATGGAGAATGATGTTTTGAGATATGAGTGTTTTGAGTTACGAGCATGGTCACAGAACTAATAACTTAAATCACCACTGTATTGTGTACAAGAAATATGAAAACAGTGCAACAATATTTTCATATATATACCGGTACAACTCACCATGTGCATCTAATCTCAAATATTATTCCTCCTGCCATCCAGCACATGAATGCATATGCCAGGTTTACTCTTCATTTGAAAATAGGCGTCTCCAGCCTCTGTCTTCACTGAGAAATAAAGGGGTACCTTTATGAGGGTAATTCATCAAATTTTTACAAACATGTTTTGTGGCTGAGGCTTTCTGAAAAGAATTATGCCTCAGAAATCAAGAATGTATGCATGGCTGTGGAGGCAAGTCCATGGGGAGTCATTTGTGTGCCGACTGTAACTGTGCAGTGGAGGTGGCACAGTAAAATACAGGCTTTTTTAAGGGTTTCAAAGTGGCTTTTCTGCTCACAATTCTGTCAGCCATAAATTGAGAATAAACACAGCTATATGGGGCGCCATAAATGCCTTCATAATTCATACCCTTTGGGAGACACTCAGGTAGATTAAATTGTTTCTGTGATACACTGTTTTCAGGTGAATAATATACCCACACACCTCATAGTAGCTCGCTTTGAGACAAATTCATGAATGGGACATATAGGACAATAAATAACCACATAACATCCATCCAGTATTCGAACCGCTTATCCTCACGAGGTTTGCCGGCGTGCTGGAGCCTATCCCAGCTGTGTTTGGGCAGTAGGCGGGGTACTCCTTGAACTGGTTGCCAGCCAATCGTAGGACACACATAGACAAACAACCATTCGGTCACAATCACACCTAGGGACAATTTATAGAGTGTCCAAATAGCGTACCATGCATGTCTTTAGAATGTGGGAGGAAACCGGAGTACCCAGAGAAAACCTTCACAGGAACGCGGATATCATGCAAACACCATGATGGATTTCAACCCATGACCTCTGCACTGTGAGACAGTTGTGACCACCATGCCGCCCACCACATAACATATTACAGAAAAGTTGACCCATGGGTAAAATTGTTTTTTTTTTTGGTTTTTTTTAAGGGGAGTATGTTTAGGTTGTAATAATAAAGCTCTGTTCAGTGCAATTATCTTTGGGCCACTTTTCAGTGTATTAATGACAACTTCATGCAAAAAATACATACGTTTCTATTTAATTTGTTAGTGTGATTAGTTGTCATTCAATTATTCAACTTCTCGCATCATTTTGATACCTTTAAGACAGCAGTATAGGACATTTGTGAAATCTTGAAAATGCAACTCAAAACACAAAAGATACAACACATATCTGAAAACGGAATCCAAGAGAGCTGGCTGCCAGATTTCTGATCAAAGCCCCATTTGATGTTTGCACAGTAAGTGTGTGTGCATGTGTCTGGTGTGTGTGCATGTGTGTGTGCGTGTGTGTGTGTGTGTGTGTATTAAACTGCATGACATAAGAAAATAAATGCAAGATTTCAAAAGCATGTACAATTTGAGAAGTCCAAAATGAAAATTTGACAAGGTACAGTAATTGTGCGATTTTTTTCATGGTGTACTTGACCTTTTATTATTCAGGTTTTAAAATCTGGAGCATTTCTCTCCATCCATGTTCATTCCCCATGGTTTGGTCCTCAATTCAAAAGCCTGATGAGCCTGAATGATACTAAAATGGAAGAGCTGCTATTTTTTGTCTATTGCACATTGTTTCGGGCAAGGACCGACAATTTGAATGATGGAGGGGCTCCACACTTCTGGGGGTGCCACATAGAACCACACATATCCAAAACCTATGATCCAAGGGGCTAAGTTGTCTGCGGCTTTATACCCACTGGCAGAGTCACCCATGGCAAACAGGTCCTAGGTGAGGGACCAGACAAAGCGCGGCTCAAAGTCACCTTATGATGAGTAAAATATATGGACCTTGGTTTTCCTTGCCCGGACACGGGTTCCCGGGGCTTCATGACTGACTATTGCAGATAAGCTTGCCCATCAATCACTTCTGATAAAACGCAATTTACATTTTTTTTTAATCTGCTTTTTTTAACTAAATCCTTTCACTGTTTCAATGAAAACAGAAGGGAGAGTTTCCCGTTTTAGAAAAGAATATCGAGAGGCATCTTTTGATGCTTCATTTGTGGGGGTTGGTTCAACAGTGTGGGCTGTAATCATGCTGAAAAAAAAATGAATACAGAATAATGAACTGAAAGTGATCTGCAAAGCACTGCCTCTCCTGCTGAACAGCAGGCAGAGGCAGCACTTGCTCCACAAACAAGTAAGGGCATAATTAGCGTCAATATGGGGCCTAAATCGAGTTTTTTTTTTCTTTCACGGGGCACCAAATTCTTGGTAGCGTTTCTGAGGATGTCCCAATACTTTTGATGGCACCAATGCACTGGGAAGAGGCAGTAATGGGAACATGTTACGCCTCTGTACTGTCGCACAAGAACCAAAATAAGAAAACCTCTAATTTTTTACTCAGTGGCTGCGACCCCCTTAAAATGGGTTCGCGACCCACTTTTGGGTTCCCAACGTACCAGTTGAGAATCACTGGTCGAGCTAAAAATGTGGAAAGGTTTCGGAACCCATTGCAACTTAATGAAGGTTTTATGATGGCAAATTGGATGATGAAACACATTTTCATTCATTTCCCACACTGTACAA